ACCCACAGCAACGTGCTCAGAGCTGCCAGTGTCCCTGTAGCAGGTCTAGAAAGTCTGGTGGACTTGGCAAGAGCTCCACGCAAGGCTGCATGAGCTTGCAATGGGGCCGGTGATGGGACTCAAGGAAAGGCTCTTCTGCTCATTTCTGAGGATATCAGAGCACTTTCAGAGTTGGGAAGCATCTGCCTGGCCAGAGCGAGGAGAAGACAAGGAGTTTCAGGAGAGGGGCTTGTGCCAAGAGTGCTTTGGGGTTTGGCTCAGGGGAAGAGTCAACTGCTCTGCTTCTGAAGAGGAACACAGGCTAATATTTAGCCTTAAAACCTTAAACACGCTCTTGTGGGATTGCTGTTGGGAATCGGTGTGGTGCCCTCATCTACACTTCCTTTGAATGTTGGCCAGATTTGCTTGGCTGTGTGTGACCTGAAGTTGCAGCCTGGCTTGGGCTGCTCAAGCTGCTTTTTCTGTTGGGCTTCTCTTGCCCAAATGTTGATGCTTTTGCTGTGCACAGCTCCTTGCATAAGAGATCTGAAGGGGGGCTGGAGCCCAGGCTGTCTATCGAGTTTTACCTGGAGGAGGTTGATATGACTCCAGGTTGGGAATAATCTCCAAATCTTGTCTGAAGACGTCAGACTGACTCAATCTGGGCGTCTTATCTGCATGTGTAGAACCTGGTCAGCATCTTGGTATTTTGCTGACACAGCAGATCTTCCCCTTGGTTTTCGGGTAGCCATCTGTGATATCATGAGGGCATTTACAGAGAAGAGCAAACCCCGTGTTTGGCAACGTGGAATGAGGCCAAGAGAAGAGGCAATCTGGTTTTTGTAACAAAATTTACTTGTCTCAGGGGACTTTCTGAAGACTTAATGAACAAGCATATTTGCCCTTGGAATCTTAAAGTCATCTCATATTTTGGATACGTGAATTGCTTAGATGACTGTAAGATATATTTGCTTTGAAAACTATTGATGAGTTTTAGAAGTTACTATCTACGAAAAAATATAAGATATGTATTTTTCCAACAATTTATAAATGTCACTAAAATGTATGGGTGACTAATATGACCCATGAAATATCCTCAAGACTTTTTACCTGTGAAATTCATACTTCATTGCTAGGTGCATGATATTGACCATTATTTTTCAGTAGTTTGAAGCTGAAGCTGGTGTCCTAGAACTACATTTTTTTTCCTATAGTGAATTTAGGCTGGAAGTCCCCAGCCCTACTCACCCCCAAACTAATTTTCCTGTAGCCTAAGGTGCTCTTGCCTTAAATCTAAAACACATACGATACACAGCAGCATTCTTTACTGTAACTACTTAATGGAGCCTCAGAGCTTCTTCCCCCTTTTGCTTCCCTCTTTCAGAAATGATCAAATATGACACTCAGCTACATTTTTTACTTACCAACTTAATTAAAAAGTTATCTTAAGAAAGCCATTGATATCTCTGCTTGTGCTTCTCTATGATTTGCCTGTCTCCAGCCACCACCACATCAAGCATCCGAAGCGTCATTCCATTCCTCTGCAGGTTCAACATTTCTTGAATCCATTGGAAAAGCATAGGAAAGGAGCTTGGCCATCCACGTTCTCTCATTCCTGGTGTGTCGTAGTGTTCATCATCTTGGTACCTGCTAAACCCAGACTCTCAGAGATACATTCAACTGGAATTTGTTCTAGAAGGAGAAGGCACTCCCATCTCAAGTGATGGTAAGCAAAGGAGTTAAGCACCTCCTATCTGGTTAAAAAAGAAATGCTGACCCTTGTTAAATGTTAATGTGTGGCATTCTTGCTCTACATTGGGAAACTGCTTCCTGAAAAGCAATCAGCAGTTTTCCACATTAAAAAAAAAAAAAAAAAAAGACTTGGGGTGTGTTTGGGGGAATTGTGAAAGTCTCATTCTCGCTGATTTTGACCAAAACGCTTGCCTGACATTGTGCTTCGGTGCAAAAGATCCAAATGCAGATAAACGAGAAATTGCTAAGAATGGATGGAAAGGTGGGAGGAGGGATGAACATGACTACATCAGTGTAGAAGATATATTTCCAGATGCCGTAGAGATATGAGAGTCCACTTACTCACTGAGACCTGTTTCACTGTTCTTGCTGTTTTATTGCTCTTCTACATTGCAAAGTGTAATTCTGGGTGGAGTCTACATTTGGCAAAAATCTGTTAACCGCACAAAGCTGATGAACACAATAAATTGGTTTCCTCCTCACACCCATGTAGACCCAGCCCACCTCCTGAAACAGATAAAAGGGAATGCCTGAAGCTGTGGAGTCAGAGAAGACTCTCAACACTTCTCTCTGCATTCGCCCCTCTGCAGCACAGCTTTGTTGACTTCTCAACTCTGCTTAGAAGAAGCAATCATGTCTCGGCAGTCGATCTGTAGAAGCTTTGGAGGCGGAAGCAGAAGGGGATACAGCTCTTGCTCTGCCGTCGGTGGTGGCTTTGGAGGAAGCGGGGGCAGAAGCAGGATCAGCTATAGCTCATTCTCCACATGCAGGGGAACTGGAGGCGGCGGACGTTGTGGAGGCTTTAGCAGCAGGAGCCTCCATAATATAGGTGGAAGTGGAAGGATTGCCGTGGGTGGATGTTATGGTGGTGCATATGGATCTAGAATTGGTAGCTTTGGTGCAGGCTATGGAGGAGGAATTGGCAGCTTCGGAGGAGGTGTCATTGGTGGAGGAATAGGCAGCTTTGGTGGCTCTGTGAGAGGTGGCCCTGGGTTCCCTGCAGGCATTCAACCTGTGCAAGTTGACCCAACCCTCCTGCGGCCAGTCCATGTTGATATTGATCCTCAGATCCAACAAGTGAAGTGTCAGGAGAAGGAACAGATCAAGACCCTTAACAACCAGTTTGCTTCTTTCATTGACAAGGTGAGAGGATGGAACTATATTTGGCTGGGAATGGAGACTCTCAGGATCTTTGCTGTGTTGTGGAGAGGTCCTTATAAGCTCAATGTTGGCGGGTCTGGAAGGTGGGCAGTGATTTTCTCATGTAGTTCTTATAAGTAAGTGTGAAAATTTTACATCCACAGGAAAATCAAAGGACTGTCTCTACAGTTGTCTGGTCCAAATGTTCCTTAGCTTTTATTTCTAGTGTTCTCTGCAGAATCAAGACAAGAGATATGTATTCAGTACTCTTTGTACCTCATAAGGGGAATGTTCTCTGAGATATAGACACATCTAATTCCATACTTTGGAAGGTCTTGCAAGCATTACCTAAAATATTTTCAACCTAATGCAGGCTAAACTGGAGAAAAAAAATCCCTAAGCTGCCCAGAAAGTACAAGGACTGACACATCTCCCAGAATCCCAGGGGAAATCTCTTATACTCCCCTCTGTGGGCTTTCAGGTTCGCTTCCTGGAGCAACAGAACAAGGTCCTCTCCACCAAATGGGAGCTCCTGCAACAGCAAGGGCCTTCTGGGCCAAGGAAGAACCTCGATGTCATCTTTGACGGTTACATTCAGAACCTGAGAAGGAGACTGGACTCTCTTGCGGGACAGAGGGGAGAGTTGGAGTCTGAGCTGCAGTGCATGCGCCAATATGTCGAGGATTACAAAAGCAAGTAAGTGCTGGGGCCCGATGTGGAAGAAGTAACCACCAAGGCGAGGAGATCTGAAGCAGCTCTGAGATTTCACCGCTGTCTTCCCTTTGCTCCTGAGCGTTGAGGATGGTTTCTAGAGTACGTTGTTCAACTGGTTGACTGTGGGGTAGTCCAAGAGACTCATCCTCTTGTTTTCCCTTCAACAGGTATGAAGAAGAGATCAACAGGCGCACCGCTGCCGAGAATGAGTTTGTGGTGCTCAAGAAGGTGAGTCACACAGACACCACTAAAGTGTGTGTGTGTGTGTATGTGGGTTGGGGACAGTTTGGGAAGGCATTGGAAGGAGGCAGCTTGAGGAAGAGCAGCTTCCAACAGGAGGCAATGGTTGTCATCAGCACTTCAGGGATCAGAGAAGAAGGCTCTTTACCTTTGTGATCTTCCCTTAGGATGTGGACTGTGCCTACATGACCAAAGTAGAGTTGGAAGCAAAGGTGGGAGCTCTGACTGATGAAATCAACTTCCTGAGGAACATATATGAGGAGGTAAGAAGGTATTCATGTTTGACTAGGTGCATTTAGTCTTGGGAGTTTCTTGGGCTCTCTGCAACTGCTGCTCCCTCCTCAGCTCCTCAAAAGTTCACATTAATTCCTCTCTTGGTTTCAGGAACTGGCTCAGATGCAGTCATTCAGCCGGGACTTGTCCGTGGTGGTGTCTATGGACAACAACCGCCACCTGGATCTGGACAGCATCATTGAGGAAGTCCGACAGCAGTATGAACAGATTGCTCAGAGAAGCAGGGCTGAGGCTGAGGCTTGGTACCAGAGCCGGGTGAGTCCCAAAGCAGTTGAGGATGCTCCGATGCTCATCATGGCTCGCTGCCCTCCTTACCATGCAGCAAGGAAAAGGGTTGAGTTCTCTGCAGCTCCTGTCACTCAAGGATTGTTTTGTCTCTGTGTTATCAGTATGAGGAGCTGCAGAGCACTGCTGGAAGGCAGGGAGACAACCTGCGTAATACCAAGATAGAGATCCAAGAGCTCACCAGGAACATTCAGAGGCTGCGGGGTGAAATTGAGAGCGTGAAGAAGCAGGTAGGGCTATCTGGCATCAGGATGGGTCCAGAGGAACAGACTGGGAGAACCAGGATCATTTAATGGTTTTGGAGAACCTTGCTTGTTCCTATCTCTTCTCCAACCCATTTGGGCCTTGGGGACTGCTCCAACGAAGGCATGCGGAAGGGGATTGAGAATTTGCCTTCCTTCTTTCCCAGATCCAGCAGCTGCAGGCAGCTATTGCTGAGGCAGAGGAGCGGGGTGAGCTGGCCATCAAGGATGCCAGGAGGAAACTGGAAGAATTGGAATGTGCCCTGCAGAAAGACAAGGAGGATCTTGCTCGCTTGGTGAAGGAATACCAAGAGCTGCTGAACACCAAGATTGCACTGGATGTTGAGATTGCCATGTACAGGAAACTGCTGGAGGGAGAGGAGAGCAGGTGAGATCTGCTGTCCTCCTCAGGATGGACTTAGCTCCTTAGAATAGATTTAGATTTCATTATGTGTCACAACCCATTTAAATCTGGGCTTTGAATTGATCTCATTTTTTCTAGAAAGAAGGCCCTGACAGGGAGTAGGTCCCAATAGTTTTGCTTGATTTTAAGAAAAGCAGAAAATAAAATAGTACTTGGGAAAGTGCAGTGTCGTGCTTAGCTGAAGTACCTTCTTCTGTATGGCGTAAATAACCCGTGTTCCTCTCCCTGTCCAGGCTGTGTGGAGATAACGCGTCCAACGTGAATGTCTGTAAGTATCGTGCAGTCTCCTTCCTCTCCAAATGCCCTTTCTGATGGGTATTCCTGGGATTATGAGGCTGATCACTGAGTCTCTCCTTCTCTCCCAGCTGTGGTAGGCAGAACCACTGTTGCTGGAGGTCGAGTTGGAGGCTTCGGAGTCGGCAACGGTGTGGGAGGAGGAGTATGCACAGTCGGAGGAGGAAGCATCGTGGGAGGCAGCTGTGGCGTGGGAGGAGGAATCCTCAGCGGTGGCTTCTCCTCTGGAAGTGGAAGGGTGTGCAGCTCCGCAGGGGGCAGCTTTGGTCCTGGGGCTGGATCCTCCTCCGTGCGGAGATGCGTCACAACCACAACGGTCAAATCTACAGGTGTAAAATACTGAGCCCTCCTCAGTTCCTCCAAGGGAAGAAGCATCTCCCGCCTCTGGCCAGCAGTGCAGCCCCTCGAGTCCAGCCTCGGCATCCAGCAAAGAACTGCTTCCCTTACAGCTCATAGCTTCCTTCCACCCTTCATGAATGGAGCTTTGCAGCAAAACATCGTCCCGCCGACAGATCCCGGCCCCTCCTGGAGCTTCCCCAGTCTCCAGGGATGAAATCTTTGCGGTCCTGTTAAGAAATCCCTCCCCTGTGGATGCGAATCCCTGGGAATTCATCCGACCTCGCGGTGCGCGTTGGCTCTTGCGCCTTGGCTGCCATGCTGGCTGAGTAGGGATGTATAGAAAAAAATGCTCTTTCCTTTCGCTTCTTACGGTCCCTTTGGGATCACCCGTGTTTCTCTGCGACTTTTGCATGTCCTGCAGGTTGCCTACATGCTTGTTTTGGCTATATCAGGAATTTGAATAAGCAGAAGGAATGACTTAAAGTCTCATAGTCAGATGTAGGAGTGAGGAACACCTCTGTGGAGACAACCATCTTCTCCAGGGAGGAGTATTTTGGCAGCTTTAGTCTTTTAGAGATTTCCCTCCCTCTTCTCTTTTACACCTGATGTCTGTATGGCCATACAGGAGAATTAGCAGGACACAATGCTTGCTTCAAGGTATTTTGTTAAGTGAGTCTTATTGCACTGTTGCTTTTTACCAATGCCCCATTTTCTCTTGATTCTTTCATTATCAATAAACTGTAGAGAAGTCAAATGATGTCTTTGTGTCACTATCGTGTAATGTTCCCTGGGGGAAGAGCCTAAGGGGAAAATGCTTTTTTTTTTTTGGCTTAAGGAATAGCAACGCAAGGCTCTTGTTTGTAGTGGAAATCACCAAACCCCAATTTTCTGCCCCAGCGGAAACCACTGAGGTGTGTTGAGAAAACACAGTCCACACCACTTTACTTGGGTTATTTCCTAAAGGCAGAATTATTTGGAGAGAAGGTTTTTCTTTTCCATAAGTGGTTGTGAGATTGAGAAGTGGGAGCCTTGACCAGGGGACAAGCATGCAGGTCTGCAGTGTGTGTAGGGGGTTCACTCCTTTATAAGGATATTGACCCACATTTTAGCGGCCACTTGAGCCCCATCGAGGCACCTTCAACCATCACAAGGACAAGTGGCACCCTCTGTCTGATGAGCAGGGCTCTTACACAGTCACTGGCACCATGTACATGAGCAGAGGGACGGCCTGGAGATGGTGCATGGGCAGGAATTACTCATGGCTGAAGCAGTGTGAAAGCATGAACCACAGCCCCAAACCTACCATTACGGCTCCAGATTGCCCAGCTGGGTTAGTTATTAGTTCTCCATAAACAATATCCCATCATAACCAAATTAGTTTGATTAAGGTTTGGCTAGATTCTTCTTAAGGGTTGGGAGGAGCAAGATTTGGACCAGTAGGTGAATCAGCCTTGACTGTACTATTGTACCTGTAGCGTCCTGGGGCAGACTCAGTGTTTATGCGAAAATATCGTGAAAATGGAGCAGATCTTCGTTCCAGAGTCATTGCCATCTAAATGGGCAAAAAGAATGAGGAGGAAAGAGTAATTTTTATTTGCATTACTATTATTTCTATGCTGTTTTTTTTATCTTCAAATAATCTTTTTAGTTAATGCATCTGACTTCTTCATCTGATGTTCGCATCATGCTTTCATATGCCTTGATCTCCTGCTGTTGCTCCAGCTGTAGGCTCCATCCCACAGGAAACCACATACTTTTATAGGTTCCCTCAGTTCTTCCTGGAGACGGGCCAGGCTGGAACATGGAGGTTTATCTTTCCCATCTGCTGTGCTCATGAAAAGTGGAGTAATGCTAATTGCTCAGGTGCATCAGGCTTGAAAAAAAGGAGATTTTAACAGTGCAATGATCGCGCTCCCCTTCATTTGCCCCATGCAGCATGTCAATATCTGCCAGCTCAAGTGAAAAAGTAGACTCACATTTGTAGCAAAGGGTCTGTTTTGTTTGAAAGCAAATGAGGAACAGCCTCATCTCATCAAGCCGCACCCTTTCAATGATCAGCTTTTGGGTAGACCTGTTGCCTAGTTGCATTTTTCACGTCATTTTTTGGTTTGCAAAGAGATGGCAAATGTCTCTCGCAGAGTTTTCCACTCAGTCTCCATCATTCCCTCCTCACAGGGAGGTTGTAAGCCTATGGGCTGCAATGTGGGACTGATGACCTGTTCATCTCTCTGTCATTTAGTGCAAGACTCCAGTGATTGGACACCTGGTGCAGCTGGAAGGAGAAGAGAATAGGTAGGTGTTTGTGGTCTAACCCTGTATGTCAGAGGTGAAGGGCTCCTTCCACTGGGAAGAAATAGAATACTCTTCTCATTTTACGAGCTTATTGGTGAAAAAATCCAGGTGACATTATATTGGCTGTAATTAGAGCTGTAACGAATTTTTAATTGTTACTAATCATGTTTATTATGGGAGGGCCTCAGCAGTAGCCAAGATTGCTTACCTTGGGTTGGGTACTGCACAAATATAGAGAAGACTCACCCCTTTTATAGTCTTATTGGGCAGGATAATGAGCAGCTGGTAGGCAGGAAATATTTGCCTTTATGAGTGGCACTGCTTTGTTATCACCTCTGCCTCCTTGATCCGGTGTTTACATGGCACATACCTGCAGAGGATACTGGAGGATGAGATGTTTAGGGCAATGGTTCTGGGCTGCAGAGAGGTCACAGCGCTTGATTAGCATTTTCTCAGTTATTCGCCTTTCATGAATCATTGACATCATCTTTTCTGTAATAGTCTGTGTATCCCATTAATATCCGCATTAATATCTTGCGTTCACTTTATTCCTTCCAAATTCATGGTAGGTTTGAAAGCCTGGATGGAATTCCTGGCCTGGTGTTGACTTTTAAGGTCCTTCCCCTTCTTTGCAGCTGTGGTGGGTAGAAACCTCAGAATTTCTGGAAGTAACTTGTAAGGTGGAATAGGAAGTGTTGTTATCTCCAGTAGTGCAAGGCATGGATACAGCCATGGAGGAGACTGTGCAACCAAAAGTTTAAAAATGCTGAAATCAGCATCCTTATCTCCACATCTAATGGCATTGGCAACAACCCCAGCTCACTCGCTTTCAACTTGACTTGTCTATTCAAGTTCAAAATTACCTTAAATACGAGCTAGAAACCCTCCTGACCTCTGTCCCTTCTCACGTGAGACTGAACTGAGCATATCGGGGCAAGTCCATTAAGTCTCTGGGCTTAAAGCTGATAGGAAAGAATTTTAAAAAACACCAGTCAAGGACCTAAATGCTTCTGTAAGGAAACACCTTGACAAATATATTGAAAGCTTTGTAACTGCCAGAGTAATTGAGACAAGACTTACAGAAATTCAGTTTCTGGAGGCCTCGTCATTGGTGTCTGAGAGCAATCCTCCCTCATTGCATTCATCATGGCTTTGATTCAGGTGATCTTCTGCCCCAAGAACTGCCTGATATTCCCTTAGCTTTGTACTCATAACCCCACGCTCCACATTTTGCGGATATTTCTATTGCTGGTGGCAAGCAGACCCTGTTGCAATTCCTGGCATGACGTGAGGGCATCCACTTTTAGCTAAAAGCAGGGATGGAAGAAAGTCTGCACCTCCTGTAGCCTGGAAGCAGGGTTGACTTCTTGGCACGCAGGATGAAGGCAGGGTGGAAATGGCCACAAAATGCCACTAGAGGGCTTGCAAACTGTAAGGGAGGCTACCCCGTTCCCAGGTACACCTGGACTTGTCCTCTAGGTGGATTACAAATTGGCTGTCCCATAAATTATGGGTCTGGCTGAGGAGAGAGCTTCAGGTTGCCTCTGAAAACACAATCTAAAGGAAGGATTGGTTTTATTCTCAATGCAGCCATTGCCCACAGCTGAGAGAACAATGCAGGGTGAAAGGACAATGTGTTGCATTTGCACATAACCAGGTTTGTGACGGATGGACCTGTTTTGTGGTTATTTTTATAGGCAGTGGCACAGCTCTCCATGGCTCTGAAGGTGGTGGACACCACTAGAGGGCTCAACAAGGGCTCCAAGCATGCAGAACACTCTAATATCTTTTACTGCATCATGTTTTATCCCTGTAAGATGCAGCAGAATGAAGCCTGAGCACCCATGGATTTGCCAGGCTCCACATCTCTCTCAGCTCTGCACATCGGGATTCTGCACTGGGAGCAAAGTGCAGCTGTTGGCCAGGGTGGAAATGACGGAAGGGTGAGATAATTCCCAATATCCTCACACCTCAGTTCCGGCCCTCTCGGGCCATGTGACAATGTGGGTGATGTTCTGCCAACACAAACAAGAGCTGTGCCATGGGATAGACCTGTGCTCTGACAGAGCGGAGTGCTCGGTGGATTTTATTTTTTTCCCTCAAGCCAGAGGTTGTGTGGGGACCCAAGAGAAATTTCTTGTCAAATTAAAAGTTTGAAGTTGGTCTCTTTTCACCAGGAGCCTAAATGACCAAATTAGCTAAAATGCCTCCACTTATTGGTGGACATTACATGAGATGAAGCCTACACTAGGTGACCTTTCTATAGACCTTTCCCTTGCTGGGCAGGCCCAAAACTCTTGATTCTTTTTGTGTTACCTTCCCAGCTCTCAACGCGTTTTGTTGTTCTGCAGATATCATTATCTCTGTATCTGCAATAATTTCAGCAATTATTGCCAATAACTCCAAAGACTCATTGATTCAATTGATCAGTCTGACCTTGATTGGATTAATTATCATCTCTAACCCAGATAGGAGGCCAGCCCAAGTGATATATAAGCATGATGGTGTGGGTGTGGTGAACATCCTAGAACTAATGATGCTCTGCAAAGAGAAGGCAGCACTGGGACCCATTTCTTTGATAGGCTGCTAATCGAGTTGTTTACTGGATTCTAAATGTCTGCCAGAATTATTCACAGCTGTTATTTGAACTTCCTACTGGGGTGGGAGGGTTGTTATTAAAACTGTTCTCAATCATCAACAGTCTCTTTGATG